CTCTTTCGTTTTCTCAATTCTGGATTTCTGCCCGAATGTCGGCCAAACCGGACGGCATGTAATTGTACACGAGTGTGCGACGTTATCGACTGTGCGTGACACGATATTACGATAGGGGATTATAAAATGTACCACGTATTCGAGTTCTAGTCGAATATGTTTGTTTTATGCGAAATCTATTACGCTCGCGCAGTAACGTTAAAGTTGACGGATTATTGCGGCTGTAGAACGACTGAAAAGTATCCGGACGATAAAACGCTAACGTTCAGCGGAAAGTACAAAGTGTAGCTCCAGTCGGTACGTTACAGGCACAGGAGTGTACTTGCAATGCAATTACGGTGATGTAACGCGCATATCTTATCGGGAAATTCTATTTGTCATAAAATAAATATTTATTTCAAAGTCCCAGGTTCGTTTCATGCTTTCGTTTTTGGTTTTCAAATAAATATCATCTGATTTAATTAAATCGTACGTAATCCAATGGAATCACATGAAGATGTATTAAAGCGAGAAATATACTACCACGATTCTCGAAAAATATTCTTTCATTTACTATTTTATGACACGTATAATCTACGGCACTGGTCGAGTAAAACGATTAATAATAAATACATTGATATCTAGAGTCCCAAAACATTGCGTAATGAAGGAAAAATATAAGCATGTTTCTCAACGAGCAACTCGACTTAATCGTAACGTGTATGTGTACTAATCCTAAACAAACGGATATGACGTCATGGCAGCCATACGATCGAACTTATTTCGTACCCCTAGCATGTTGTACAACACGTAGTATGACCAATCAAATTTCAGAATTATACTCGTACTCGTTAGTAATTGTTACGTATTGTTCTATGGTGTTTACATTGTATGCTTTATTATAGAAAAAAATAAAACGATAATTTAATTAAAAGTTATTAAACTATTAATAATTAACCCGCGAAAACGTAAATGTTACATTAGTAGTGTACCATTTCACCGCTTGATGTCGCATTGAAACCTGCTTTCGATACAAGTGGTGCCATCTTGCAGCTACTCTAAACCTTAAAAGCTTTACCATAGCAGTATTCGTTGCACATCTACAATTTAGTTTTAATTATATCACAGTAATTTGTTTCCAAAAAATACGTTTGTTCAGAAAACATATTTTCTTAACTTTTCTAGGATCTGATCAATAAGTACAAGTTTAATTCTATAATGTTAATCTCGGCTGTTGGTTTTCGTACAAGTAGAGCCATCTTAAAGAATTTTTGGTAAATATATTGATTAAGTAATAAAAGTAATTTATCAGATATTACTATTAATAAATTTATATCGACAAAATTTTATTTAAATAATTTTTTAAATACAAGATATATTCGAACATATTTCATAAGAGTAAGGTATGAAAATAAGCTTTATATAATCAATTGTATTTACTTCGTGCAATCATAGATCCCGTACAGTATAGATTTGACATCTCAGAAAATATTCCAATCATGAAAAGAAACAAAAGCTTGACTACATTTCCTATTGTCTATTTATTTATTTATTTATTACAAAATAGTGCAATACATATACAAAACTAGAAATTTGTAATCGTGAAATGTGTAAATTATTATGTATCAAAATAATGTATAAATTTTGTTCCGTCTTCTTTTGTTTAGTTCTTCCGTATTATTACGATTCACGGCCTACTGTGAAAGAATAATGAATAATATTACGTATCTTATTTATTATTATAAAAAGATTAAAAGAGGTTACATCGTGTGATTCAAATTCGCGTTGTGTGTCAGGTCTATGTTACACATTGTCTATGGCGATACAGTCACAAACCAGTAAAACTTGTCTAAGAATGATAACTTGGTTATTCACTAAATTGTAGTCAACCGATGTTAGTAACGTGATTAAGTTTTATTTGCAATTAGTGTAAAACACATAGTTCTTTTTTTTTTCTACGATAATATATGATAAATAAAAATTTCACTATTTACATAATATATCTTATAGCAGATGAAAAGTTATCGATGAATTTATACGAATAGCGATAGAAATAGAGAAATTGATGCTATATTTTTTACAAATAACGTATCTATTATTTTTTATTGTCGATGAATTCGAAATTTCGTCGCACATATTATACTGCCTTTGAAAAAGTAATTTCGTGTTTCTCCTAGATGGTGTTAATTTACGCATGCGTGCAAGGGAAGTTTGCAAGAGAGACATCTTTCCGTTCGGTAAAGTCTTACCGACTCGGTAAAAGCTTCTCATACTACAATTTGGTAGCAACGTTGTCGCCATTTTGTGTTGTGTGAGGAACGAAGATGCCGTTTGTTTCGATGTTTTGTGAGAACTGAGAATTAGTGTCATATTTGTCTCGTACCTGATAAAATGACGCAGTTTCTGCCGCCAAATTTGTTAGCTCTTTTTGCTCCGCGAGATCCTATACCCTATTTACCACCCGTTAGCAAGCTCCCGCATGAGAAGAAAAATGGAGGCTATATCGGTGTTGGAGGTTTTCTTAAATATTTCGAGGTAATAAAAATTTTAGTGTTATTTCATTTTGCGTATGTATTTATTGGAATGTTTCTTTTAAGTGTCGTAAACGTTAGAATTTCCAAAACGTTGTATTGATATTATTGTTAAATTTTGCGTACGGAATGAGTGAAGAAATATAACATACTCTTCTTATAGGATCCCAAAGACACACCACCACCGGTACGGGTGGAAACGAGAGAAGAACGCCTTGAACGTAGAAGAAGAGAACGCGCAGAGCAAGTAGCATACAAATTAGAGCAGGAAATTGCAGTATGGGATCCTGCTGGTATTCCAAATGTAACAGCGGATCCTTTCAAGACTCTTTTTGTAGCTCGAATAGTGAGTATTTTTCTTCCATACAAAGATATTAATTCGTTTAAGGAATTTAGTAAAACATTTTACTTTTAAATTATGTCTGCGTTCAATTCTTTTTAGAACTATGATACGTCCGAATCTAAGCTTAGAAGGGAATTTGAAGTATATGGCCCAGTAAAAAAGGTAGGTAGACTAACGCAAGGTTTACTTTCAGATTTACCACCACGTTGATATTTTCTATTCTCATTTTCAGATAGTGGTAATTCACAATACAATAAATGGCAAACCTAGAGGATATGCTTTCATTGAATATGAGCACGAAAGAGATATGCACTGTAAGTAAAACCCAAAAAAACGTAACCCCTTCTTGAGAACCTCAGTGAGTCCATAGTCTGGAATTTCACCTTACTTAGCGTCACTTCCAGCTAGATATAGTGGGGCAGGGCTATAGTTAGGCTACCCATTTTCATTGGTACTAAACCAGACGGTATGGGGGGTCCCGCCATACATCCATGCAGGATTACCATTCTGTAAATGCATATATGGTAAACGATCAACTGAAAAAAAGAATATTGGCTGTCTTGATTAATGCAGTTTTTATCTTGTTCTTGGTACAGCGTGGTGGCCGCTGCCGGCAACTAGTGCCGTTCACTATTCCATGCAAAATCCCTGAACCTGCCTGATATGATAGGTTTGTATGTGTGGTAAGATCCAACATACAACAACGTTTGTTAGCGTCTATGCTTACCCTATTTATCTTGTCTGATTTTGTTAAATTTGCGGTTCGAGTACCACCCCCGTCGGGGGTAGACAATAGACGTACTCTTAAAGTACTGGGAGTCAGGAGTATTTCCGATGCATATTTTGGGCTGAAATTTCTTTTATTTTTAATTACATGGTTTGCAAAAGTTAGCATTCTACATTGAAATTGATTGGTGGGCTTTTAGGAAAAAGGTTCAGGGACACGCTCTGCAAGCAGTTAGATTTGCGCCTGTACATAAAGGTAGACTACAAGTATCATAATCAAGCTATCTATCTATATATAAATATATCATGTACAAGCTATATATATATACATATAGATGGAAGATATTTGAATTTCTTCGAGCAAAATTTAACCGCATTTTTTTCTCAATACTACATTAACAATCATGCATCATTGGGTAATACAGTACATTTCATCACATCTCTTGGTTGTAGCACCTACTTTTTTTTTTTTCTTACAGTGGGCGTATTATTACATCGTAGGTCAGATGTCACTCACTTAAAATTTACGCAAATACGTGTACCAAGTGAATGTCGGGCACCGTATACATGGACTCTATGATAAAAGATATTTTCTCGTTAGGTCTAGTACCAAAATGCATGTTCCAAAACTAATTAATTGTTCTGTCTGAAACATCTTATTTCGTCGCTCTTTCCGTTTTACTAAAGTTTTAAATTAGCTAGTTATCATCTTATACGGAAGGTCATCTAATCATTTCTTTTTTCAATCAATTACTTACATTTAAGTCCTTGAACATATCAATTTCGATATAGAATACTAATTTATTCTAAAAATCTAATCTCGGAGTTTCATCTCGAATTAGTCAGTTCCTTGGAAAGTGTGCATAGAAAAAGTTACGAGTATGTGTTAAAAGGTAAATTGTTTTTCCGTGACAACAATGTTCCCCTTGTTAAACAAACGAAGCAAATTACGAAAGAGAGAGAAAAAAAAAAAAAAAAGAAAAAAAAGATTCGTTTTAACGTTACGTTAAATTTAATGTACAACTAGAACACAATATAATATAAAGTATAAATCATACGATACTTGCGCACGGTTTGGTCGTAAGTAAAAGAAAAAAGCGCACCAGGTAAATGAAAAGTAAACTTCTTCGGAGATTGAACGAACATATGAAGACTGGGCACCTTCCCAATGAATAGCATACGCGCTGGCCTACTCTATGCTCGCGAGTCTCTTACAAGTTCATTTCACGATTAAACGTACTTCTAAGATTTGTGTTAACTTCCGTACGTAAGTAGCCGCGGTAGGTATTTTTGTATCTGCTATACTTTTTGAACTTTACAAACGTAGATTTAAGGTACCGAAAAATCCGTACATTTTATTACTGATTCATGCCCCGCGAATATAACGTAGGGTCGTGACTTTATACGGTAAAATGATCATTACGGTACGGCATCGGACCTTTTTCTTCTAGAAAACCTTAGTGTACGCAAACACAGTGCATTCGGTGCTTTGTACGCTTTGTACGCAGAAACGTAATCTCATTCGTGTACATATACCGCGAGCGCAGAAATTAAACCAGTCTGATACGAGGACACTGTTTCGTGATGGTACGTACTGGCACATTTTACTTTATAAAAGAGCGCACGTTATAATCGGTACGTGTATAATCAGGAATGATATGTGCCGATACCTTACGACCTCAATCACTTCTGAAAAAATGTAACGATTACTAGTTTGGATAATTTCGTCGAGGCAATAGCAAGAAATCTTACGGAAATAGAAATAACATCGGGAAAAAAAGAATCGCACGTAGGTATATAGCAAATGCATCGTTCGATACTCGATTTATTATCTCTTTTGTGTTTTCGGTATCGCATTCTCGGACTGTTCTTGTATTCGTGTCTGTATATTTTTCATTTGCACGTGACCGAAAATTGCCGAAATTTCACAATTCGTGGAGAAAAAAAAAAAAAAAAAAAAAAAAAAAAAAAA